ATGATAGAGATCTATAAAATCATGACTAGTGTGGAAAAAGTGAATAAGGAAAAGTTATTTACTAATTCCCACAATATAAGAACTAGGGGTCACCAAATGAAATTAATAGGCAGCAGGTTTAAAACAAACAAAAGGAAGTTTTTCTTCACTCAGCGCCCAGTCAACCTGTGGAACTCCTTGCCAGAGGATGTGGTGAAGACCAGGAGTTTAACAGGGTTTAAAAAAGAACTAGATAAATTTATGGAGGTTAGGTCCGTCAGTGGCTATTAGTCAGGATGGGCAGGGATGGTTTCCCTAGCCTCTGTCAGAGTCTGGAAATGGGTGACAGGAGAGGGACCACTTGATGTTTATTAAGTTCCATTCACTCCCTCTGGGGCATGTGGCATTGGCCACCGTTGGCAGACATGACACTGGACTAGATAGACCTTTGGTCTGACCCAGTCTGGCTGTTCTAATGTTCTTATGTAAAAAGGCATAATCTGCTATGATGGGTGGCAGGTTCCTCCTCTTGTAGCTAATGACTTTATTTACATTTTCTGATTTTGCAGATCCTTGATGAATGGTTCGGGCGAACAGTTATCTGCTCCTGCGTGCAGCTGAGCTATGACCATGCACAGAGCATGATTGAAAATCCTAGGAAGGTTTTTGAGACAGAAGAGCTGCCTCCCATTTCTCCCCAACACCCCATCGACGAAATTCACCAAGCTGTCCTGAACCTCCATCGAATCGCCACACATCTGCGCAAGCAGCGCTTCGTTGATGGTGCTCTTCGTTTAGACCAGGTCAGTAAGCTTGGCGTCTGGAATAGGGTGTTTCACAATGTCTCGGGTCTATTCAGCCCTCCTGTTTACCCCTAGCCCTTGCCTGAGCAAACCCAAGCTAGCCTCCTTTGGTCTCTTGATTGGTTTACAGACTCCAAAGGGAAAATCAGAGTTGAATAAAAATGTAGGATTTTGTGGAAAACGGTTTTTGGTTTTGGTTTTTGGGTTTTTTTTAAATATAGTTTCACTAAGTTGGGCAGATTCAGGACACCTAATAACACGGGAAGTCAAAAGAAAATGGTTGGGTTGAAATCTACTAGACAAAAAAGATAAGAGAAGAGCAATCGCTCCTGCAGAGTTCTTCACTGGCTCTCCTGGCTCCTAGAGCCATGAATACAAATCTTACGAATGGAAATGAATAATGATGCTGTAATAGCCATAGCCAGGCATGTAGGTGCACAAAGCCCACCTTTCGCCACAAAAAGGTTCATCTCCAAAGCATCATTTCCTGTTACATATTGTAGTTGGAATAATCGTATTTTCCAGCAGCATTCATATCAGCTCTCAGGGCAGGGAAAAGAATTAAAATGTTATCTAATACAGTTTAATTGTGTATCCAGTGGAAGTGTTTCAATAAGAGAGACGTAAATGACGTGGTTTCTTATCTGTGGCCATGTAAGTGGGGCCGTATCAGTAGTGTTACGTGTATTTTCTATTTTGTAAGTAGAAATAGGTATTTTGGACTCCAGCTAAGAGCTCCTTTTGACATTGTTGTTCAACAGCTGTAGAGACTGCAGGAGGTTGTGGCAGGCTGGCAGACAAAGTTCCTTAATCTAAATGAAAGCTCTATTGTCTTATATCATTAAAATGAAACTAGAAATGTTGTCTGGAAAATAATCTCCATCCCCACCCTGAACTGCCTCGCATGGAAAGTTCATTTTTAACCTTCTCTTTTGGAACACGGGCTTAAACATTTAAGGCTTGTCATTCAGTAGATAAAAGTGAGGTTTTGTTTGGTTCATTTCTTATCCTCTGACCACCAGAAAACATACTGGACAGAGCAATCCTGCATTGGAAGGGGGATGAACTAGATAACCTACTAGATATTAGCAGTGGAAAAGATCTACAGTTACTGCTCGCTCTGGCTGCCCCGAGAGAACCTCGCTGGGTTACACAAATTTGTTCTTGCAATGTTGAATTGATGGGGGCCGTGTGTATAAGCGGCTGGTTTTATGACAGTTCGACTGCTAATGCAGCTTTCTCACTTTGTCAGTCGAAGGGTTTAAGCAGGGGAAAGAGATCGTGTCCAGCGGTAACCCCGTGAAAGATTAGTGGCATCCGGCTTGGTTCAGAACTATAACCAGAATCCAGTTAAGAAGCTCCAGCATTACACTGCCACTGCTGGAGAGGTGGGATGCCATCCTGCTTTAGAAGACAGGAGAGAATTATTTTGGCCTAATCCTAGTGCCTAGTGGACATTTATATCCCCTAACAACATGATTTTCTCAGAGTGGCATCCTCTGCCCCAGAGAATCTCTGCCTTCCCCACAGCGGGGACATAGCAAGGTATTGGGCAGTAAGAGAGATGTATTTAGCCAAGAAGTAGTTTGCAGTAGGGATGTGAAAGTGTAACCTAGTTATGCAGAGGTTCCCGGTACATACAGGGAGCTGGCTTAAATGCTGGTTTTGCTGTAGAAGAGGCAGCATCACAGGGTGGGTGGGGGAAGACCCTGGCTCCTGGGGAGTCAACAGCTGCCCTGTATGTAACCATGTAACAGCCGAAATCTTCAGCAGTTACACATTTACTTAAACACATTTTAACATCCCTAGTTCACCCTACACCTGCCCTTTATATGCCAGTGTTCGCCTCTGGGGGGATGAACTCGACTTTCACAATTGAAACACAAAATCCAAACCTGTGCAGAAATATATTGCCGTAGCTTGTGAAGGTGAATATGAAGGGGGTGTGTGTGTGTGCATTGTGTATATTGTGCAGGACAAAGTGAATTCTTGTAGCTTTTAATCAAATTATAGTCCCTCTACTTCTGTTCACATGATTACCTTTTGCTATATTGGTGTAGTTGTATTGAAGGTCAGTTTTCTGTACCTGAGCGAGCAAGCAAGCAAGGGTGGGCCCGACAAGGAAGCATACCTTTCTAATCACAGGACCTCTCACTGATTTCCTGGGGAGTAATGTAAATCCTGAACAATGGGAGACAAACTACAACAGAGGAAACCAAGAGCAATTAATGATCAGAGTAAACGAAACAATCATCACACAGCATGAGAGAGTGGGGAGGGTATATACCAAGAAAGCCCGGGTTGTATTGCCAGGGGGTATAAGAAGACAGAATACTTTTGCTCTCTTTGTTCCAAGAGATTTTTCAGCCCTCTTTCTGTATGGGTTCTGCCTTATGTTGAGTAAAGCTTAGGACTCAGTGATCCTTTCCCAGTTCCTCTAATGACATTTATCATTGTGAGGTGCTGTCATAATCCCTGTTAACATTATGAGGAGACATTGTGGTCTCTTGCCTAGTCAGGGAACCGTGAATCTGAACTTCATTGTGGGGTAACAGTTTTATAATGCTTAAAAACTGCACACCCCAGCAGGAGTGCTGGAACCCTCTCCCCGCCTCTTCACCCCCAAAATCCTGTCTTCTCCCCCAAGGACCCACCTCTGCCCAGCCTCCTCTCCCCAAGGCTCCACTCCCATTTGCTCCTTTTCTCCGCCTCACATCATTGCTCATCTCTTTTCCCTCTCTCCCACACCTGGGTTGAGAAGGACTCACCTGCGGATCTGGGGTGAGGTAGGAGGTGGCCCCAGCTGAGTAGGAACTAGTGCAGATGATGACCCAGCACCAACCCACCGGACATTGGATCTCTGGTCAGTGGTACTGACTGGACACTGTCAGATTCCCTTTTTAACTGGATTTTCTAGTCGTAAATTGGACTCATTGGTATCCTGTTTTCACATCTCTCAGTTTACTCGTCTGTAAAATGGGAATAGCATGTAGCTATCTCAAAGGGATGTTGAAACTTAATATTTATTTCCCTACCAAAAATGTAGTTGACTCAAGGGGCTCCTGAGTATTTTCTCCCCACAATATAAACTCCAGACAGTATTGAAAAGTCAGCTCCGGCCTCCTGTCAGCCCATGCTGTCAGGCTTCATTGCCCAATTGTTTAATTTTCAAACAGCCACCGCCATGCTGCCCCCCACACTTGGGAAAAGATCCCTGCCAACATCAACACTTAGGTACGCTCACTGCAAAGCAGTTTCTCTCTTGTCTTTGAGCAACAGATGCTGGGTTTGTGTTGGGGAAGCAAAAAGGGAGGAAAAATGGGGAAGATACTATTACTTGAGAACTGAATTATGGGCTTGACTAAATTCCGTTTGTGATCGCAAGCTGCACACTTAGGAAGGAGCTTTGCCACTGGTTTATCAGGTGTGCAATGAGGTTTGCGTCAGCCCAGGACTCTTAGTTGTTTTTGAAAGAAGTTGATGAATTTAAAGACAGCGTTTCTGCACCTGTACTTCTGCATCACAGTGGATCACTTTGGTAGCCCCTTCATTTAACTAAGAAGATGGGACTCGTGAAGCAGGATTAATAACAGTAAAGTACTGAGAAGTGAGGGAGGAGAATCAGCTGGGGTTAGGTGACGTATGATTTTGAAAACATAGGGCTCTTCACCAAGAGATTGTCAGAGCTCTACGGTATTTGGTAAATGCACAAAATGTGTCATTTTTGAAGTTGTCAAACTTTGGTCTTCTGGTGGTTCATCTGTCTGAAAATCAGTGTTAATACTGTGGGCAGCATTGAGAAGCTGACTCCATGGGTCATCCACACAGAAAATGAGCAGGTACACGTGTGTAAAGGGTAGAAGGTCTTTGGCATAGTCTGGTATGTGAACTGCAATTCATAAGAATGTTTCCAACAGGCAGACAGAAATCCATGTTTTGAGATGATGACTCCTGCTTATGCTTTGTAAGTGGATCTCCTGAGAGCTAGAGACTAATCAACATCTTCATTAAAATCTTCCTCTATATAAATGACTCTTGGAACAAATGATAGAAAACCACTTTGTCATATTTCTCGTCTGATTAGGGATGCGGAAGGTTAGCCAGAAGGCACCACCCTAAATGGGTGTTGCTTACCAATTCTGGTTAGTTGGTAACTGGTGGAGGATAAGTAGCTCCCCACCTGTCGTAGGCAGAGGGATGCTCCAGCCTTTCAGGGGACCCACCACGAACAGTGCTGTTCTTATCTGGAGCAGCCCCTATCTGTGGGGAGCAGGCGGCAGCTGCAACCCCAACCCCAGCACAAGGCTGGAGGCAGGAGCCCTGCACACTGGAGCAGTCCCCAACCCGGATCCCACTCAGCCAGTTAACCGTTAGGCTAACCTACCGGTTAACCCAGTTAACTGATTAACTGGGATTTTACATCCCTGCTTCTGATACCTGTCTGACGTGAGCTGTGGAATTCTGTTCCTTTTGTGGACATAGCATGTGACTTCTGCCCCAGTGAAGGTGGCTCTTCTGTAGATGGGTAGGTCTATAAAATGTGTCTATTATCATTGAACTTAGGGTCTTCTTCCTCTGTTGCTTGACTTGTTGCTTTGCTGGGGCAGGAAAGGACTGTAAATATTTCTGAGATGAGTTAATTATACTTGCATGTGCTTTCCCCACAAATGCAGCAGGGACTCTGGTTCTCTTGCCTTAGATATCATTTTAAAAAATGATATGGCTAGACAGCTTACCAGTGCAGGGATCGGGGTGTGTGTGTGTGTGTGTCTGTGTTTTTTTCTGATCATGGTATCCTACTGCTCTGTTGTCTCAATGTGGGGGTACTCCGGGAGAGGTGTATATGACTACCAGTAACTAGAATGACAGGTAGGCGGTATCCTGTGGGTAGCAGAGCCAGACTGGCTCTCATGTCCCTTGCAAAGAGTGCGCTCTGCCCTATTTGGTGTCTTGAGTCAGAAAGGAGCTGGCATTTGGCACATAGGACATGCTGTATGATA